GGTATGTTTAAGTCTTCAGACAGGCTTATGGAATTGAGATTTTAACTTGCAACACTTTTCAGTTTCTATAGCATGAGACTGGGTATTACACAGGCCTATCACCCTTACACACACAGAGGCATGGCCTACAAATCACCCTAGCTCCTTTACTGCCTGTATGTAAAAGTTCACATCAGGTTGATGGGGAACAACTGGGCAGCAGTGTTTATTAACTGCGAACTGATCACATAGCAAGTAACTAACATTGTTCTTTTGAGGCTTTGTTTGTTGTTTAGTATGTGTTTGCAGCTGCTGATTTCCTGTGAGTTGTAAGCCCTAAGGAGATACAGACTAACCCTCTCCCACTCTGCCAGACTAGATTAGCTCCTGCACTTAACAGTAGAGATTCAGTCACACTGTCCTGGATCATGAGAGCTAAACCGACAGAATAATTATAGAATAATTGTCAAATTGTACACAGGGAAAGGAAAACGATTGTTGATCATGTTTTAAGTAAAATCTCTGTGAGACTAGAAAGTGATTTAAATATTAAAAGCTTTTTGAAGGGGTAGTATTGAAGTTAGGGTGTTGCTTTTAACATAGCAATGATGTGCTTCTTTCATTAAATTATCTGTCATTAAAAATATTTATAAACTTAAAAGTTTAAATAGAAACCAAATAAAATCCCAAAGCATTAAAAATCTCTAATAAACCTGGCTGAGGACAATTATTTTGAGTTTTATTTGAGGAGTACATTTCACATATCTTATACTATATAGCAGTAGTAAATTGAGATGGATTAAAGATTGAAGCATGAAAAGCCAAAAAATCTTAACCATAGGAAAAATGTACAGAAGAATATTTTATTACCTCAGGGTGGAAAAGAACTTCCAAACAATGAGTTCAAAACAAACATAAAGCATAAGTGAAAAACCATTGGTTTTGACATCAAAATATATAAAAGACATCATAAATTGGAACACAAACAGTATCAAAGAAGAAATATTTGCAACATACATAGTAGTCAGTAAATTACTCTATGTATGTATGCATACATATGACCCAATCTATCTACCTGCCTATCCACCTACGTATAATCTCCCTCCAGAAAATGAATTTTTAAGAATACAATCCAGGGGGCTGGGGATTTAGCTCAGCAGCATAAGCTCCTGCCTTGGAAGCAGGCAGTCATGAGTTCGATCTCCGGTACCGGTAAAAAGGAAAAAGACAAAAAAAAAAAAAAAAAATACAATCCAGTCTTTGAAAAATAAAGCAAATGATCAGGCATGTAACAAAGCAGATGGCAAATAATCTGATAAGAAGAGCTGACATTAATAAAGATGAAAATGCAACAATGCAAGTTAAAGCAAAACGAAATGCAGTTCACTTCTACGAGTATCAAAGTCTTACAAGTCAAATAATATGAAATGGAAATGAGAATATAAAAATGTGGGAATTCCCAACCACTATAGTTGGAACAGCAGATTTGTACAGTTTTCCCAGAGCACAGGGGCCTGCAAATTTGTCCTTGATGGCAACATTGAAAGTATTATGTGAATACTTACATAACCATTTAAACATGTCAAAATCACCTGCAGCTCAAGGGTCTATCGGTACAGGTGGATTGATATCTGGACTTGCAGAACCCTGGTATAGAGCAACTTAGGCAGCAACCAGGACCCAGGCATTTCACTTTCTGGCACAGATCCTAGAGAAACCCTCACACAAGTGGGAGCATGTATACATGTATGCAGCACTGCAGAGTAAGACTTTGGAAAACAGCCTACCATATCCATCAGGAGGGTACTGGTAAGCAAATCTTTAATCAGTGAATAGTATATATAACTGTATATCCTAGTGTCTGAGCTAGCTTATGAATATTAAGATAAAAAGAGTTCAGAAACAATCTTCAATGAAAAACTTAACTATGAAATATACGAAGCCATTGGGCACCATGTATTTTGAAAATTACTGCTACAGATGATTTATAAGGAGGGAAATATCTCATCTAATATAGCTGAGTCTCAATGAATTATGACTCCGAGGTACAACCAACAGTATGTGGGAGTGGTGCTTCTCAGATTAAAATATACTGATAGTAATCCTCAAAATTTATGGCATACAATTTGTTTAGGTGATAACTGTAAATTTCAATACCCTACATTTTTTCTAGATGCATATATGTATGAGAAACCTCCATATTTCATAGATTTGAAGATACGTATTTATTTTTATATTTTAAAATCTCTGAAATATGAATATACATTTTCATCTGTGTATAGTTCATTGTTTTCCTTAGTGTTGCACAAATTATTTTTGTTGTAATTGATACTATGTTCAATTTAGTGAAATACGATTTAAAAAGTGGATGTTGAATTCACACTAAATTCATCATGGTTGTACCTGGGAGAAAAAAAAGTGAAAAAGGAAGAAAAAAGAAGAGAGAGGGAATTGCTCTAGAGAGATGCATATGTGAAGCACTAAACTTTTCACCAACAGTATTTTGTTCCTAAAAGAAAGATATCTGAGATAATACGATAAGTTTTTAATGTTAACTAGATTCTACTTAACCATCTTATCTGCACTTACATTTAGCTATGGAAACAGTTATGATTATTCTTTTATAGCTAAAACATTCTCAAAATTATAAAGCTAACTCACAGGTACAAGACAATTTTGAAACTTGGTTGTACTGGGAGTTAGAATCCTTAGTTTTAGATACAATAACATACTGGTCAGGAAAGTTTTCTGATTCTCCCAAAGTCAGTTTTCTAGTGACCAACAGAGCTAAACTCTGGTCCTAGATTTTCAGACTGTAATTTTTCACTCTTGTACTAATAGAACACAAGAAAGCTGTTCTATTTTCAAGCTGTGGACATTTCAAGCTTCAATTACTATACAGATAAAAATAATCTTGAATAAATAACAAAAGATTTTAATTTAAAGTTTTAAACTTAGAATTTTTTTTTTTTGAAAAATCACTATAATACTAGTAATAGCTGTTTGGGGCAGATACTTAAATGAGCTTGACACAAGGATGGAAACAGACATGGAAACAAGGGTATAAGTTGTACCCTGTGAATTCCTACAGCCTCAGCTGATCCCTAACACCCTTGGATATACCCAGTGTTCTACACTCAGTGCCATTTTTTGGCCCACAAAGAAGACTTCCTAAGAAGCCTATGTATCAGTTTTAATACTTTACTTCATTTTATGATTGGTGCTTAAAATTTTCTATTTTTAAAAATTTCTGTTTACTAAGCTAGATAGTTTTTTTCTCCTGACTTCACATTTTGCAACTCTGATTTAAAAAGCAAATATATATCTGAGTTTGAATAATCTGCAGGGAAGTAAACAATTTTACCATTTTATTAGGCAAACTATTACATTGATTCTCAGAAAACAAATAAAGTATTCTTATACACACATTAGTAGACTCAAATTTATTCTGCATTTAACCTCACATTGTCTTCTAGTTGTTCCATTTTAGATTAAACAGTAGGTGCTTAAGAAACATCAGCTGAATTCATGATTGAATAAGTGAATGAGGGTTGATTGAATCAATGATGGAGAGAGACCTAAAGATCTTGAAAAGGAGGATGCAAAGACTCAGGGCCAAGGCATTGTGCAAATGACATCCTGGTCAGAAGCAGCTCTGGAACCAAGCCGTTCTTCCCATTGCTCCTTGGCTTTGCTTTGGCGAACATGTTTAAAGTCAGCGCCAAACATAAAGGAAAAAACCAAGCTACTTCTATGTGATGCTGCTTTTCGGACCCCAGTAAACTCAGTAGACGTGTGTTAATTTTGAAAATCCCCAGGCATAACACAGGCATCTTGTAAATTATCACATCTAGTTGCTCAAGTACTTGCTTAATTCCCAAGGGTTCAGAACCAGAGGGGACGTTTGAGGTGATGTGCAGTTTGTTTCACTGGCTTGATGCAGACATTTTTGGTAACAACTTTAAACCTCATTATCTACAAAAACGAAGAGCAGGTGAACAACCCCCAGGACTTTAGATCAGACAGCTATGGGGACATTCTGTCTCTGCCACTTACTCTGTCTGACATCAGAAAAATTATAACCCTCCTCTGAACCTCAGCATCAACCTCTGATTGTGGAGCTATCTATTTTGATTGTCCCAAAGATGAGGAACAATATTGTAAAACACTTTGCCCCTCAATAAATAGTAGCAGTGGTTTTTAGTTTGTTCAGATAAAGGATAACTTGAACTTTTTAACATAACATTACAGAATAGGTTTACATCTTAAATATGAACATACTTATTGGACTGGGGATGAATATTTGGTATTAGAAAGACCTGACGATGTATCCGTTGGTGTGTTATCAGCTAAATTTCCTATTTTCCTTTTGTTTTTAATAAGAATACACTGAGAAGAAAAATCCGCCTGTGTAGCAGACATTAATATTTTCTGGACTTTGGTGTTCACCTTTCTTGCGCTTTCCCCTTATTGGCACCTATGGGCTTCATTTTTCTCCTGTGTTTTCCATCCAGTCGAACATAACACAAAAACATGGTGCCGACTTCTAATTAACTGACTGCATGCTAAGGTCCCCAGCTTCTGTCCTCAGTTTAATTACAGCGGTGAAGAGGATGCAGTGAAAATGAAGACAGTGTCTTTACACAACAAAAATACAACAGTGTAGTGTGAGTTCCATCCTTAGATTGCCTAGGTGTGAATATTAGGGGATAGTTAATCCGGTGTGTACATACGAGATTTCTGCTGTGTTTTGTTTCATTTTCTCTCATGCAGACTCTTGCACCTAGAGACAACTGCAAAGTTAACAAAATTTGAAAGCTAGTTTCTCAAGTGCTTTTCTGATTTTTAGCAATTTAGAATATAAGGGATTTCATCCAACTGGACGACTCTGCACTTGTCCTTTGGGACCATTTTGAAACTGACAACAGGTCAAACATCTGTTGATGTTCATCTCATTATGAATTTCAAAATATAATTAGCCCCAATGATACAGTCAAGTCCCAAAGAAATGCTAAACTCACCAGAGTGGCAAAGAGATGATACAGAATGAAGTAGATGGCAACCACTGGTGCCCACATATGTCCCACGGCGTTTAACGTTTGGTCCATGACGTCTACCCAGCCTTCCTGGGTGAGGATCTGGAACATGGACATAAATGCCTACAGAGGAAAAGAATGGAGGGATTAACTACAGGAAGCTTCAGACCCGAACACAGCATAAAAGCTGTCTATGGTGCTCAGTCGAGGATTTTGCTCTCAGTATCATTGATTCTTGTCCAATTGACCAGGGCAAGAATGGTTTTGAGGCATCAGATGGGAAAAAACTGAGAACAAAGATTTACAAGCTTCACCTCTAACTGCTCAGGAAGGAAAACAAGACTAACTGCCCTGAATTAAAATTAGCCTTGTTGGTTGTAAATACTGTTCAATAAATTAAAAAAGAAATCATAATTTTTGTTTTTTCAGCAAGTTATTTTACATTCCCAACAGATAATTTATTTCTTCTTGCCGCAGCTAAACAAAACTTATTATTTTTATAGTGAATTACGTTTGATTTTCTGAAGCATATATGAGAGCAATAACCTGAAATTTACTTTTATGGTACCCATATGTCAAATTATTTCAGCTATCATGTTAAAGACATGTGAATCTTTTAAAAATAAATATTTCTAAACCATATTGCATGCTGAGCAACTTAACAGAGATGCATTTTTCATGATTTAAAAGATTAAAATTTCAAGCCAGAGTTAAGATCATAGAAGCCAAGACCAAAAGCCCCAGGGCATTCCAATAAAAGTCAGCCCTGCTAAAAAGCTCACACTCTTCTGTGAAGGTCTTTGGCTACTTCCACTTTGACATGTTTTTTCTAATTAAATATGTGATTATTTATGCATCTGTGACTCATGTACATGTACATATCAGTGGTCACTAAATTTTCCTAATGAGACTTTATGATGCTATTTGGGGAAAGGTCCCAGTGACTCTTTAAAAATGTTCTTATAGGTTTTAGTAAAATGAAGATATACATTGAATTACTAGGCATTTAGATTCCAAGAAGTAAAGTCCAAGATAATACAAGGATGGACTGAGGCCAAAATAAAAGACTTATTATATTGATAACATCTTAGAGCTCAAAACACTTTAAAGATAAATGTATTCTGATTCTTTTCCTTTGGAGATAAGGAAAGCTGGGCTCAAAGATGATAACTGATTAGCCCAAAGTCACTTAATTTGTGGCAATAATAAAAGTTGCACCCAGGGATTAAAGTAGGTACTTTTCCAAATATTATATCTTATGTTCAGTGAAGTTTTGAATCTTTCTCCAAACTTAATCACACAGTAGCCCTTTAGCACAGTTTCTTTTACTGGGACTAATTAACTTTCTCAGAAGTGTGACTTTCATTGCTCAGAACTCAGTGTACCCAGCTGAATAAAAGAGCAATCAATTGTTAAATGAATATTAAACTGAAATATAAGCTTTTCTTCTTACCCTCCCTATGTCTATGTAGGAAGCACTTAACCTCTCCTTGACTTACTTTTTTCCATAATTTCATTATCTTACAAAGTGTTTTTGTTCATAAGTGTGAGGTGTGTTGTTATTTACACTCATTCCCAGATTGTCTTAAACAATACCTTCCTTGTCAGTGTTCCTAAAAGAAGGTCATTCTATGCAAAAATATGTTTTAACTCTCTCTAAAAATGCTTGAGAATTTTAAATACATCATTTAATCTGATAATTTTGTCAAATTTAATTAGGACAATTATTTTATCGCTACATTTTTTTCTGTTGAATATTTATTACTAAATGTAGGCAAGGAACACAAATTTCAAAGAGAAGTCATATAAAAATACCATATTGCTGTATTTTCTTCAGAAAAGATGTGAGCTGCATGGAAGTGTGTACATTTAGGTTTCAACAGCAGTAGCAGAAACTCAAATGTTCACCTGTATGTATAAAAGGAGTCTTTCTGAACCTGGCTTTCTTTCTCCAAAAAGGACAGGAAAGCTCATGAGCAAGCCCAACAGATTTATTTCTTGTACCTAAAGATCAAAATTTTAGGTCTACTTTTCAGATATCTTGGGCACAAACTAAACTAATTTGTTTTCATTGACTGCACTATTTTTCATGACTACTCAAATGTTGGGGATTCAATAAGTGCCCAGGAATAGAGCTAGGGATTGTGAACTGCTGAGATGGGATAAGAAAGGAAGGCAAGAACATCAGGGTTTTTCTCTGCCTTTTTAAAGTCTTTGGGGAAAAAAACAATTTCTGCAGAGCTCACCCATGTAAAAGTTCATATTGTGAATTAAATTTGAGAGCAAAGCTTTCTGTTAAAATGGAATTTGTGTTTATAGCTGCTTACATGAACTTACCAATGAAAGGTAGCACTAGGTTATACTTCTATGGTGGGCTGAAAAGGAACCTATGTCTTGTTTGAAGGATGCCTCAGTTTTGTTAGGATTTTATCCAGAAATTTCAATTCCAATGATAGTTTGAGATTGTAAGCCGAGTGCACTGTTTGACTTAAGTTGTGCATTAATTCCCATGTTCGTAGAAGAACCTGCTTAGCTTATTCCTACCGACTGCTAGAAGTTTGATGTATTGGAACTGAGATGTATAGAACATGGTTTCTTCTCTTAAAAAATTTATAATGAAGAGGAGACGAAGGTGATGAAAAAAATGAAGAGGATGGTATACTTGGGAAATATGAGAAAACTTCCATATTAGGTAACTCAACAACCATTTTGACAAAATGATGGCAATTGATCTTTTGGTGAAGGTAAGTAGGTTTCAATGGTGGAAAAGGCAGAATTGGACAAAAACCTAGAAGAATTTGTTCCTCTTTTCTGAACTATTTGTTTTTAGTGCAGTTTTTGTCCTGTTGAACTCTTTTCCTTTAAGTGTTTTTATCAGCTATTTATAAATTAAGAAAAACAATTTTTTGTTGGTCATATATGTTTAAAGTATTTCTTGATCCATTTATGGGATTTTGCAAATAAAAGTTTTCAATTTTTATAATGTCATTCCTTTTATTTAAAGCATTTTGTTTGGTAAATAAAATTTCTTTCAAGGTCAGATAGATGAAACTCAGTGTAACTTTCTTGACCAATTATGTAGTTCTAATTATCCTAGCTATATGCAAAGAAGGTGAGATTCAGTGTAACATTCTGTCCAATTAACTGATGGCAAATGCTTTGTTTATGTATCTCTTACTTGGCTGTAAATTCTATAAAAACTCTGCTCCCTGAGAGTTGGGAGTGCTGCCTTTTGTCAGTCTTTCAGGCTGCTGCAATGCTTATCACACAGTGAGAGCTGTAACCTTTGAGCTGTAACACTTGCTGCAACAGTAACAGAGATGCTCCAGAATCCACCCCCAGCTTTTTGAGTTTCAGTGTGTCCATGGTTTTCTTCTCTGTGTTTGCTGTCTCAGTATGAACAGAGGTGTTTACAAGGAAACAGGTGTTAGCTGAGGCTGCAGATACTGAATATGGAAACATAGATTCAGCTATTTGTCCAATTCATATAGATTCAGGGATTTTTTAACATCAGAGGCCACTGGCCCCAGATGTCCCTTCTGCTAATTCCCTAGGCTCTTGCCTGCCACTGCTCTCACCACATGGGCTCTACTTGGGGATGCAGTCAGTGGAATCCTCCCAGCTTCCATCCTCCGTACTCAGGGAAGATCCCTTGTTCCTGTTGTCCTTCTGTCCTCAGCCTTCTGTTCCCTTACAGTTTCTGTTTTCTGCTTTTCCTATTTTCACTATGATGTATTTTGTGTGGGGAGAGAATTAGTTTTCAGAAATTATAATACTTTTGCTTCCCTCTCACACTTGTTTCCAGCTGAGAAAAATCAAAATGGTGAGAGGTAGCAATTTATTTTGGTCCCGGAACAAGTGACTTTCAGTTGAGGGATCCTTATCTTTTTCCAGAATCTTCTTACCCCTCAACTGGAGTCTTCTCAGATGGAAGGCTATGCATATATGTTTTAAAATGTTTTCCCCAACTATTTCTTTTGATTTTTTTTTTTTCATGAGAAGTTTAGAGGATGAAACGAGGGTGTTCTTATTTTTCTCATATCCTCTCTTTGACTTTCCCTTTTCTGGTAGCTGCTATTCAAAGAATGTGATACAATATTATTACCTTTCTTTCCTGTAATTATGATATTATAATTTTTTTCAGTCTGATTTATTAGTTGTTTCTTTCACTTCCTTAGGTTTGTAGCAGAAGAATCTGTGTTTTTTGCTCTATCTTACTGTTTTATTTCTCACTTGCACACTTCTAAGTATAAATAGGATACACAAATTTTTAAAGCACTTTAGTTACAAATGCATCTCTATCATCACTGATAATAACATAATCTCATGTAAGTCCTCAGTAGATGGGTGAACCACTGTTCTACTGGGGATGCCCACTTGCTGTTAATTGAACTCAGGGTGAGCCCTTAGACTTGTCCAATCTCTATAAACTGCATAAAGTGGTCTATGACAAGCAACTCTACCCTTTCAGGGGAGAACTAAATCAACCAAAAACTCTCCAATGAGTCTCAAATGAAAACTACAGAGAAAGAAGCATCTGGAGTGAATGAATGAATGGCCATGCAGTTGAGTAGGAGCTATGGGAGGGAATTACAGTTGGAGTTACAAGTGCACTGATGCTCCAAGGTAGCATGATCTGTTAGTGAACTCAAGTTTGGTGGGAAACGAAATGCATTGGAAAAAGAGATTGAAGTGATTTTCACCTCATGGAGGCAAAAGATTTTTTAAAATCATTAGCTGAGTTTCTGTTTAACATCAAAGTGGATCATACTTCATGGGCACACAGGAGTAAGAAAAAAGGCAAAACTCAGAAAGCAAAGGGCAAAACCATAAAAGGAGTGTGACAAGGTGAGCATTACAAGGATGGTCTAGGACAAAACACATCTAGAAGCAGAGAATGATGGTCTCGGAGTCCCTCAAAAGGGCCAAAGCCCTGCAGTGTGGAGCCACAGAACCACTGCCAGCCCTTCTTGGACTCCTTTGCTGGTTTCCCATCAGTTTCCTGATCTTGCAGATTCTGGATGATCCTCAGATCTTTTTCTTGTCTCAGAACGGTGACCAGCTGATTTCATCCATTTTAATGCCTTAAATTATCATCTGTGAGCTGATGATTTCCACTCCTC